AAGTGCTCCACACGGCTCCAGGGGGTTAATAAAGGCCTTCTGAAGCGAATCGATACATTTGTGTAAGAAAAATATCCATATGTAAAACTTTATAAACCGTAATCTCTAGTTTCCGGAATTAGAGATTAGAGTTTATAAAGTTTTAAATATGGATATTTTTCTTACACAAACACACCGCTTCAGAAGGCCTTTATTAGCCGTGTGGAGCACTTTTATGATGGATGGATGCACTTTTTTGGACTTCAAAATCTCGACACCCCATTCATTGCCATTATAAAGCTTGGAAGAGCCAGGGCATTTTTTAAAATACAACTCTTGATTGTATTCGTCTGAAAGAAGAAAGTCGTATACACCTAGAATGGATTGAGGGTGAGTAAATCATGGGGTAATTTTCATTTTTGGGTGAACTATCCCTTTAATGATGAAGAGTGATCACTTTCAGTGTTGTACTTGTGAAAGCAATTTTGATTCTGTAAAGATGTAAAAGTATTTATTGGTAAACGTTTGTACTGCACTCTTTTCTGTGCAGCGAGGTGCCTACTGAAGCTCTGGAGAAGCTCAGCATCACAGACAATAGCGAGTCTTCAGTGCCTACAGAAGAGTCGGAGGCCACCACTGTGATGGAGATGAGGTAATAGTGAATGTGTATCAACCAGATGTTATATGATGCATAAAAAGTGCCCTCCGCCCTCTCTTACCCTCTTTTACTCTCTCTTATGCCTCTATAGAGTTGAAACACCTTCAGCTGAGATCACACCTAATGGACCGGTCTGAAGCCTCTGGATAGGAGTCCGACCCACTCTCCGCCTCTTAATTTACCTGATGAAATGTTTAAAGTGGTACTATCTTGGGGAATCACATATTTCTTGATCTTTAGAGTACTTTGAAAACATACTGTAACTTCTAGAACTCAAAACTTCCTATTTAGAAATGCATCAATCTAAAGTCCTTGACATCAGAAACTCCAAAACATTAACAAATAACTGCCTACATATACATGGCAATGGCATGGTGCATTAATATGGATAAGGTAAATTCACTAGAAAAACTAAGAGGGTTGACATTTTGTTTTGTTGTTTTATTTTTTATTTTATTTTTTTGCAGTGGCTGGCAGTGGTTCGGCTACTGGAGCGTGTGAAGGAAGTCCTGGGCAAAAAGCTCCTCTGGTGGGCTCAGACAGCAGCTCGTCTGGAGGTTCAGACAGTGAAGAGGACCCTGGAGAAAATAAGACAGAGGGTTCCCCTAAAACACCTGCCAACCAGACAACAGCACCCATGAGGTAAGAACATTAGTGCATTACAGTGTTTTAATGTAGTTCCAGGGGAAAAAAAAGGTTTCTCATGACTTCAGGAAGGGAATAATATTCTAATTTTTAATCGATGACAGAAGACCTGTTGTGTGATGATCGTTTAGTTATGCTCTCTAAACAAACCACTTAAAGGGGAGAAAAATATGACAGACCAGACTGAAAAGGGAATCCCATTCGGGATCTTCCCTATATCAAAGAACATTCATGACTCATGGTGCGGTCACGTTTACTGTAGATTGGGAAAATTTCACAGATAAAATTCAGTGATTTCAATAAGAATCAATGCAGTTGGAAATTTTGTTAGGGTGAAAGATTTTGCAGGGTTCGAATTGGTTGTGAATTTGCCCTCTTGACCAACAAAAGCTGCTTGGTTTGAAAGTGACTTTGTTGTCATGTTTCATACAGGGCTACACTATTGACTGTGGATGTTTTTTTTTTCTACAAAATTTTGCTAATGTGACTGCACTTTTAGAATGACACTTAATCTACTGGTCCAAAAAATTCAATCAAGTTTTGATTGATTTAAAGGGATAGGTCACCCAAAAATGAAAATTACCCCATGATTAACTCACCCTCAAGCCATCCTAGGTGTATATGACTTTCTTCTTTCAGACGAACACAATCGGAGTTATATTCAAAAATGTCCTGGCTCTTCCAAGCTTTATAATGGCAGTGAATGGAGGTTGAGATTTTGAAGCCCAAAAAAGTGCATCCATCCATCATAAAAGTGCTCCACACGGCTCCAGGGGGTTAATAAAGGCCTTCTGAAGCGAATCGATACATTTGTGTAAGAAAAATATCCATATGTAAAACTTTATAAACCGTAATCTCTAGTTTCCGGAATTAGAGATTAGAGTTTATAAAGTTTTAAATATGGATATTTTTCTTACACAAACACACCGCTTCAGAAGGCCTTTATTAGCCGTGTGGAGCACTTTTATGATGGATGGATGCACTTTTTTGGACTTCAAAATCTCGACACCCCATTCATTGCCATTATAAAGCTTGGAAGAGCCAGGGCATTTTTTAAAATACAACTCTTGATTGTATTCGTCTGAAAGAAGAAAGTCGTATACACCTAGAATGGATTGAGGGTGAGTAAATCATGGGGTAATTTTCATTTTTGGGTGAACTATCCCTTTAATGATGAAGAGTGATCACTTTCAGTGTTGTACTTGTGAAAGCAATTTTGATTCTGTAAAGATGTAAAAGTATTTATTGGTAAACGTTTGTACTGCACTCTTTTCTGTGCAGCGAGGTGCCTACTGAAGCTCTGGAGAAGCTCAGCATCACAGACAATAGCGAGTCTTCAGTGCCTACAGAAGAGTCGGAGGCCACCACTGTGATGGAGATGAGGTAATAGTGAATGTGTATCAACCAGATGTTATATGATGCATAAAAAGTGCCCTCCGCCCTCTCTTACCCTCTTTTACTCTCTCTTATGCCTCTATAGAGTTGAAACACCTTCAGCTGAGATCACACCTAATGGACCGGTCTGAAGCCTCTGGATAGGAGTCCGACCCACTCTCCGCCTCTTCCATTCTGAACCCCCAAACCTCAATACCACTTTTGGTGTTTTAATAAAGAATGCTGCCATGTTATTGGTCCTGGATACTGCCAATCAGCCCATAATTGGAGGAGGAAGCCAGGGGCATATAACACGAACCAGTAACCAGTACAGTGCTCAGAGGTGTTAGTCTTTTAATCCTTTCAACTTTGTATGAGATATGCACAGTTTTAAATGTAGCAGTGACCGTGTGATTACAGGATCTGTCAGGACTTCTTTTTTCTTCAGTTTGTGTCCCTCTCTTAGTTTTTCTGGATCAGTTTTTTCACGCTCAGCCTTGGATGGTAGGAAACAGGGATGTGAAGGTCCTAATTGGAAAGCACAGGCTCATCCTTCACAGCATAATGTCTTGAACATCCTCATGCAAAATCGAAAGCCTTGTTGCCTGACAACAGCCTCTGCAACAATTTACTGTATGTTGAAGCACAACTGAAATGTTCTGTAATGCTTGACACATTTCTGCACAGGTCACCGCCCCACCAAGTTCACTTTTAAGATTTAAAAAAAAAAAAACTTTATTATGGCCTAATCTTATTAAATCATGTATTTGAATGTTCTGAAGTGCTTTGGGACGGAAATGAATGACTTGATACTCTGACATGGTGTTCACGATGGCACCCGTGCAGTAATGTTTAGCCATTTAATTTAAAATTGACTCAATTGGAAACTAGACATTAATGGTGGGGGTGTGCCTATTTGATTTTTTTGGACTTTTTCATTGCATACAAAACATATTTATCATTCAAATACAAGCAGCTGTTTTTTTCTTCTTCCGACAACGTTCTAGGTAGGTTGTCAAGACCTTCTGATTGTATTGAATTACATTTGTCCGTTTTTTTTCCCCTCCCCTCAGTTCCACTAAACAGTTTCTGCCTAATTTTCTAGTGCATTTTATGCTTAAGCTTTCCAAAAATTGAATTATGGGTTTAAAGCAAAAAGCTTAAAGTAATCATAATAATCTTTGCCTTAAGTTACAAATCCTTCAAAATCCCTGTAACAGGACAGAAGGGGTTGCCTCAAAGCAGACAGGCTTTTTTGTCTGTTTTTAAATGTCAGCTAGTCTTTAAAAAACTGCCCCCCACAATTTTATTTGTATCACTGTCCAACATCAACGCAGCATGTTTTTTCCCCCAGAGGCCAAAAAACTCCATAGTATAGTATACCATATGAAATACTCCACAGGACAGTGTTATGCAACCTTTTTTTTTTAAAATCAGAACTCTTGTTATATGCTGTCAAGAAAGACTTTTTGAACTCGTCTCAGAACCTTCCAGTAGCTCTCATTGGAAATACCAAGATCCACTTTTAATATTTCATCCTGAACATCATGTGATTTATTTTTTCCCCCCTCCAGGAATTTTTTTGGCTATCACATTTCACGTATCATATCTCACTGGAAGCTTACTATGGTACCAAATCTGTTGGATTACAGGATTGGGATATTGCATTATTTATTTTGCACTTATTGAGGTGTTAGTGTGGAGACCTGTTCTCTCATCAAGCATTGGAACGCCATTTATTTTTTTCACTATTCATGATCTTTGCCTCTGGAGTATAAATCCTCCATTGACTCTCATTGCTTCTTAGATCTATGACATGTTCAAACAGGTTTGTTTCCAAAGCCAAAAGTATGTATTTGCCTTTTTCTTCAACGGTCAAAAAGACTGTGTATCTAACAGCTTTAGTGAGGTGATCACCCAAGATGGATTTTAATACAAGGTTTAAACAGAGACGCCAGATTGCACCTAAGACCCTACACATGCAATATGCATAAAAGTAAACAAGATAGAAGGTGTAGAAACAGATTTACCTCCAGACCACATGTCAAAGGATTCAGTCCTGATGAGCTCGCTGGTCTTCCCTGTAAAAAGACAGTGGATTAATACAGGCCAACTTCTCTCAGTTGCCTACATACTGTCACTGTGTTCAGTTAAAAAAAGTTTCACCATCAGCGTGTTTCTTAAGACAAAAAGGAGGCATACCATTGATCAAAGCAATGTTTATACCCCGTCCAACGTTGTTCTTTACTCCACTCATTAATCTGATAAAAGATCAAGAAGAAAGAGTTCAAACAGCAGCAGTCATGTTTCCTCTGAATTCAGGACATCTCCAGCCAATAAAAAGTGTTTATGTTTCTATGGTGTTTATGCAATAATGCAGTGTACTAAGAGATGTGTGTAAAACCTACACAGTATCCTGAAAACACATTTTTGGGCCGACAACGCTGGCTGCTCCACTGGTGATCTTAAAGGCAAAATGGTCCTCCGGACATGATTTAGAAAGACCGCATTTGTGGCGCGGAGGCCCAGTGGCTGAAAACAACATCAATACATCCATAAATACAGATGCCTTTACTATTTCAGAAAAAAAAATGTGTTTGGCTATGTTCTTGCCTTCTGACTGCACGATTTATTAATCGTTTATATTATTTACACATGCACCAGACAGGAGTCTTCACGCTGAATTATGTCTTGCGACACACTTCTTAAGTAGATGAAGTTATAAAAAATTAAAAAAAAGATCACACCCAAATACACCTACTTTATCAAAGCACTAAAGTAAATGGCAGCTGCCCAACACATCTAATGTGACCTATGGAACTCTGAATATCAAGTATATAACACCCATTATATGTATATATATATATGTATATATATATATATATATTCATGTCACACCAATAACCTACATATGAATCATTCATACTATAATTACTCTGCAGTAACAGGTAAGGAAATTATTGATTTCTGCACAGCAAAAAAAATTAAATATGTACTCACATACAGTCTCTGCGGGTGCATATCGTGCTGTAGAGAAAAAGATGTCGATTAGCAAATAGCAGTGTGCCATGTCAAACACTGAAAAATGCAAAATCATTCTTTAACCAAACAAGTGTATTATTTATTTTTACTAACAAAAGGCGTGTAGTTTCAGATCAATATGTTCTGTGTGTGTAAAGGAAGTTGCAGAAAATGGTTGCATGCATGAACTCACCAAGTACTTTGCCCAAATTAAAATTAGCTTTGCTCTCCAATAGCTCAAATGCCAGGAACACAGCTAGAAACAAGATAGAAACCAGCACTGCCAGTTTCAAAAGTCCTGTAAACAAAAAAGTTCCATATTCTTGAGTTTATAAAGTCCATACTAAATAGTTTTTGATGAGAAACAAAGTCTCATCTTTAAAATTATGACAATTTTTTTCAGGAAATTCAAACAAAAAATGCCGTTTTGACTCGCGACAAATTACTCAGTTCAAACATGATCATCCCCTTCCTCTTTACTACTAGTTTTAACACTAAATAAACATGAATGAACATCACATGCCTTATGTAATCGCTCAATCAGCGTTTCAACCGCAGAAAGACGGCAATAAAACAGCTTGTAAACAAATTGTCATGTAGCATTTAATTTACCTCAAGTCATTAGTGAACGCAGCTCATTAATTCGCTAGAGAAATTAAGTGCAGAGAAGATCATTTGACGAAATATTAGATTATACTCATATTTTACTTTATCCGTTAGTGATGTCTTAATTATTTAATGTGTTTAAATAAATCTGTTATGAAACAAGTTATGACAGCCACTGTGTAAATGATTATATTTCAACAATAGAAATTGTATAATTTAGAAGTTAATTTAAAACCTGCATTATGTGAACTTAACATGTTTGCATACAATATTTTAATTTGAGTGTTTATTATTATTATATTAAAATACATAGTAATTGAATTTAAGTTTGGGCTCTGTTGTTAATTGTAACCTTATAGTAAAGTAAAAGGGCCCCCTATAGTATAGATCATAATTTGAGGTAGATTTTTATCCCTTCAAAAATTTTCATTGCAATTAAATTTATTTAAAGAAAGAGCCATTTGTTCAATAAACCACTGTTTAATATAAAAAATTGTGTGTTTAGTTTTTCCCCCTGCTGTACCGAAACCGTACCGAACTGTGACATCGAAACCGAGGTAGTACCGAACCGTCATGTTAGTGTACCGGTGTTGTGCCCAATTCTGTGTGGCACAACCGAACTGTGACATCGAAACCGAGGTAGTACCGAACCGTCATGTTAGTGTACCGGTGTTGTGCCCAATTCTGTGTGACACAACCGAACTGTGACATCAACCGAGGTTTTGATGTGTGGCACAATCGAACTGTCCGGGGGGGGGGGGGTTGTACCCCCCCGGACAGATTATTACCCCACTAGTATTGGTAGGTTAAGAGTAGGTGTGGAGGAGGGGTTAGGATTAGGCAATCAGGCAGTGACTTCAACAAGGGGTAATAATTTGGCAGAGGGGTCAAAATTGGGCACAACACCGTTACACCCCTAATTTAAACTATTTTGTTCACTTTTACACACTATACAATTGTTAGGATTTCTGCAATTATTCAATGTCTTAAGGCAAAACTTTTTTTGCACTGCTATTAAACAGACATTACCACAACATATTGTCAATGACAAAAGAGCAAATATTTGCCTTCGGTTACATGAAATATATACTTCAGCAGAGTTTAGACTGAAAGAAACAGAACAAACCTCCTGCTCGCATCATCCTGGCGGTTTTGCAAGCAGCAGTCACCACACTGAGATCCAGACACCTGATATGAGATCAGATATCATCATGTTACAAAAGCCTGAATATTCCTAATACAATACTTATATTACCAACAGGAATTTACTCAAGATAATCAAGATGATTGTGAAAAGTCACACAGCAAAACAATGGCCAGGCTGACTGACTAACCTATATTTGGCTGATTCAGAATGAGATAAATAATTAACATGTCCAATTCTCATCCATTTGCTTTATTATATATTCTGAGTAACTTGAGTATCCTTTCAGCTAAGCAAATATTTATATTTTACTACTTTCAGCTCTGTTAAATAAACATATTTTACGTTTAACTCAACATCACAGAATTCTATAATGTATTCAATTGTTTATGAATAAAAGTGCATTAAATTGTTTATGATTAAACTGCACGATTTCTGTTTTCAACTATCTCATAAGCCGGTTTAACACAAACCAACATATAAGTTTTACATTTATATACCTGTATCAGTCCTCACCTGTCAGGATGTCTGAAAATGACTGAGCCAATTAAATATTCAACAAAATGCTCAAGATCTAACATGTAAAACAAACACATAAATCCCGAAAACCTCTAATTATGCCTGAAAAAGATGCCAGAAGCGAATTAAACGGTTGTTAGTGTTAAGTTTAGGTATTAGATGACAGCAGAAAAGGTGATAGTAGCCGTTAGCAAAAGGTGTATATGCAAACAAAACACGATAATAAACTTTGAAATAGATATATAATATGAAGTCAAGAACATCATGTAACCCAACGAATATATTTTTAGACTGTGATTGACTAAAGAAGAGAAGAATAATAAGAAGTACCTGGTGACACGGCGACACAGCGCTGAATATCCCCTCACATCCGGGGTTCGCTATAGAGGAGGAGCGTGCGTTTGTGCAGATAGGACGACACGCCCGTGTGGGCGTGTATAGCTGTCCTACATGGCGCCCGCCCACACTGCACAGGGGTTTTATGCATAATTTGTTAAAAACTAGTCATACTAGTTCTAGCCTACGTAGTTCAAACAGATGACAATTTGGAATGTTGGAAATAACAGAATATTGTTATTTTTTAAGTCGTTTGGGTTAAACTAAACTGTGTTTAAATAGGAAATTATAGATATTTAGTTTATACTATATACTATAATATATACATAGGCAATAGTCTGAAAAACGCTCATTATATTTAAGCAACGCAATTCAAAGACAATAGTATAGGCTACATACTTTATATATAATGTAATTAATTTGTTTTGTTATTGTTGTTTTATTTATTTTTTCCTATGCCCTGTATTGCTTAAATATTCTTGAATCTTGAGTGAGATGGGTGTTTTAGTGAAGATGTGTGAGAGTATGGTTCATGTTGGTGTGTTGTGTGGTATGTAGTATATGTGTGAGAGTGTGTGTTAGTGAGGAGGTGTGAGGCGAGTGTATGCTCTTGTGAGGTGTGTGGTTTGTTTGTTTTCCAAGACAGACAACTGTTTGGTGTCTTTCTCGTTTGACATTTGTCTGTAGTGGTATTGTATAGTGGTATTGCGGTTGAGCAATTTTCTGTTAAATTCTGCAATATGTGTCCTTTGACAGCTCTTTTGTCTTGGCCATGGTGGAGTTTGGAGTGTGACTGTTTGAGGTTTTGGACAGGTGTCTTTTATACTGATAATGAGTTCAAACAGATGCCATTAATACAGGTAACGAGTGGAGGACAGAGGAGCCTCTTAAATAAGAAGTTACAGGTCTGTGAGAGCCAGAAATCTTGCTTGTTTGTAGGTGACCAAATACTTATTTTACCGAGGACTTTACCAATTAATTCTTTAAAAATCCTACAATGTGATTTTCTGGATTTTTTTTTTCTCATTTTGTCTCTCATAGTTGAGGTATACCTATGATGAAAATTACAGGCCTCTCTCATCTTTTTAAGTGGGAGAACTTGCACAATTGGTGGCTGACTAAATACTTTTTTGCCCCACTGTATATATAGAGAGAGAGAGAGAGAGCATTTTTTTATTAAGAAAATCTGGTTACACTTTATTTCGATAGTCCACTTTAGACATTCTACTAACTATACGTAACTTTGTAACTACATGTCAACTAATTCTCATTAATTTGCAACTACATGTCTACTAACTCTCAGAGTAGACTGTTAGGGTAGGTTTAGGGTTAGTAGAATAAGTTGACAAAGAAAGTATTAGAAGATATTAAGCAGATAGTCTACTAATACTCTACTAACTATTAGTTGACATGTAGTTGCAAAGTTACTTACTGTTAATAGAATGTCTAAAGTGGACTATCGAAATAAAGTGTTACCGAAAATCTTTATCATTTTTTTGTAATAATTATATACTAAACAATATATTTAATATGGTGTATTATGAGTAACACAATAATTAAAATGTGGATGATAGGATGAGCATAAATAATGATGTTTAAATGCATTTTAATTGATTTACAATTCAAAAACAGTAGATTGGTCTATTTGAAATTGCATAGTCCCAAATCTCAAGGAGGATTGCCAGCAGCAGCCGGAGGGAATATGAATGATTCCAGTGCAAAAGACAGAGAGGGTGAAAATAAATTCACTCGTAAAGATTATCCTCTGGTCCCTGTATAAGACACTTCATAGGACAAAATAGGAACCTGATATCATTTGCCTCGGTTTGAAAAATGTAGTTCACTATTATTTCCAAGGGTTTATTATCCAGTTACAGTGCCTGGGTGTGAGATTCATTTGAAAAACTTGTCTGCAAAGCCCGAGTAGTTCCAAGAGTTTAAATGTTGTTCACTCAATGAGATCCTGAAGAAGAAATAAAAAAAATCAGCAAGGTAAGCGAATGCTAAAATACATAATCAACTATAAATAAATAAATACAGCCAAATTCAATAGGTACAGGCGAGGATAATATTGATTGATTCATCAAGCTCACTTCATCGGAATCCTCCTGGACTTGGAAACCATTTAGTTTGCCATTGGGGCTACTGTCTTTGCTAACACACAGATCATCATCTTAGAGTTGCAGAGCAGAAAAGCGATAAGCATGTGACCTGCAGGGGGCAAAATTTGACCAATAGAGAATCTGACTTCTGCAATGTACTTTATATCTTGTGTGAGAGATAGTGAATGTGGCTTCAAATGGATATAATATCCAACTGAGGCCAATCAAGTTTTATCACGTGACCTTACCTATGCCTACAGTTTATTCTCCTTGAGGTGATTATTAAAGCTGCAGTAATACCCAAACCAATGACCCCCACACAAGTACACACACAATAAGAACCAGCATGCCCAGCTGCAATAGAAAGACAATAAATGTATTTATTCAGTTCATCAACCATGTTTTTCTACATGTATTCTTTTAAAGCTCTTTTAAAAAAGTACTTATGCTCTTTATATTGTATTATACATGATAAGTGATTTTACTTCATGTTTTTTGGCCACTGTATAGTGAATAATTATTGTCATGACAAATGGGCCACTCACTGACCTCACAGTACGCAAATTTGAGGAGGTTGGTGAAATGTCCTTCCCACAAAGATTTTTGAAAGAGTCTTCTGTTTTCGGAGGGCTGAAACCCCCCTCACATTTATCACCAGGAATCTTACGATACCTGTTTAACACAGTGTTATAATTATAGCAATTAAATGTATGTGTATTAAATTTTTTTATATGGAAAATAAAGATATTTTTCACCATCACCCTGTATGCTGAAGGTCATCTAGCTCTTAAGCAAATATCCTGGGTTTGATTCAAGAAGTCGGCTTGTAGGAGACACTCCGAGGTGTTTTCATGCAGATAGAAACCATACTCACTGTTGACAGGAGAGATGTTCAGAAAACACATTCGTTTGACCACAAGCAGATGTCCAAACCTCAGTGTGGTGCAATTTTTCCTACCACATGTAGTCATCTCTAGTGCAAGGACATGAGTGCTGCTGCCTGCTGACCACATATCCTCTCCCATTTCTACATGCTGACAGTTTCTTCAGTCTTCTAAATGTTTCTTTGTAGCCCAAGAGGCATTCATCTGTTTCTGGGTCAGTCATAGTCAGAGTGCGCCAACCACTACACATAGTCCTGATCATCACCTAGGAACACCGAGAGATTGTAAAACTGTAGTTTTTTTAATTCTTAAGGCAGTGACATGAAGCTGATGGGCTGGTTGGTAAGAGAGATCACTCCGATTAGCTATTCAGCTTAGTGAACTAGTGCAAGCAAGCAAAATGGAATTGACGAAAGCTGGTATGGAGAGATATATTTCCTCTCACGCAAGTTCAGAATGTATGTGCTAGTTGCCCATTGTCTGTAGTCTTTGCGGTGTGTTAAAGTGCAAATTTTTGGTTCAGACACAGGCGTCATGAGGCAACACCACAGTCGGCTTTCGTCGCCACTATGATTTGTATCAAAGCTTTGATGATGTAGTATAATACTTATTACAGTATTTAAAATCTGCCTATAATTCTTGAAATGTTTTTTACATTCTCTGGTGAGCAGGTGCTCAAAGTCTATGGTGACAGCCACCCACATGGGCTGATCATGATCATCTGGGCGGTAGCCGAAAAAATGCTGATATTCATTGTCTTAGTGCCTGGCTCGGATGCCAGTCCGGCCAAGAAGATGGGGTGGTCGGTGAAATTAAATATTTTCCAGTACTGTCCTTCATCTGTGGAAAGCCTGAAAACATTCAGACACACAGTCATATATGACAGTGACTACATATTACACATTTTTTCTTTCAGAACAAGAACAACGTATAATATAACTGCAGAGAGTGCATATTACATGCTGATACCTATGCAACATATTGATGTCCTAAGAATCTTTACTAATTTGTGCATCAACACCCAAGCGAATTACATATGCGAAATACCATGCTTAGAGACAAAGAGTCATAAAACTCCCCAGTATTTCCAACATTTACATTAAGTATCAGTTACTCCTTTTTACGAAGGTGTGTTTGAACTAAGAATCTGACGCTTCCCTCAGGTGTAGATCTGCTGAATATGCAAATGGTTTCATAAATTTCATTCCTTATGTCTCTTTCTGTAGTGAGTTAAACTTTAACCCTTTCCTATACCAACTGTATGTGTGTGTATGTGTATGTTAGACCAGCTTATGTGTGTATGTAGGATGTTAGACCAGTTTATGTGTTTATGTAGTATGTTAGACTAGTTTAAGTGTTTATGTAGTTAATAAAACCTTACTTGTATCACACTTGACGTGTTCATTGTTTGCTCATAACCGGAGTCACTAATCATGCAGATTTACGCTACAAGCTTTTGTAGAATTGTACAGTAAGAAAGTTATTTCCCTTAACCAGGAAATTAACGTTCTTAGAATTGACAAGACAGTTGACCCTGAGAGGTCAGCTAAATATCTACAGCGGATCTAAAATAATCATAATTAATTATAACTAGTTATGGTTAATTATTCATATTTCCCATGAGCTGATTCGTTACATATTTATTAATTAATTATTATATGTACTGTATTTATATTGAATTAAATGTATAATTAATAAATGAAAAATACATTTATTATATAAATTAATAATTAAGTAACAAACTATTAATACAATTCAATTATTATTATTATTATTATATTATATTTTAAATGATATTATAATACATTATAAATTCAAAAATTATAAATACATTAATATATCAGTTTTATTATAAGTGTGTTCAAACTTGTGTTATAACTAATAAAGAATACATACATGATATCATTATATCATTTAGGGCTGCACGATTGTGGCAAAAATCATAATTATTCCCTTGAAATTGTAATTAATTACGATGATCACAATTTATACTGAATGATGTTTATACCATTGTTTGAAGCAACAGCATGCCATATTTTTATATGAAAATAAACAAGCTGAAAACACTCTAACTGAAAAACTT